AGTGTGTGTGTGTGTGTGTGTGTGTGTGTGTGTGTGTGTGTGAGAGTGTTAGTGTGTGTGTGTGTGAGTGTATGTGTGTGTTAGTGTGTGTGTGTGTGTGTGAGTGTGTCTGTGTGTGTGTGTGTGTGAGTGAGTGTGTGTGAGTGAGTGTGTGTGAGTGAGTGTGTGTGAGTGAGTGTGTGTGAGTGAGTGTGTGTGAGTGAGTGTGTGTGAGTGAGTGTGTGTGAGTGAGTGTGTGTGAGTGAGTGTGTGTGAGTGAGTGTGTGTGAGTGAGTGTGTGTGTGTGTGTGTGTGAGAGAGAGTGTGTGTGTGTGTTTGTGTGTGTGAGTGTGAGTGTGAGTGCGAGGGGCGTGTCGGGTGTCGTGTTTCTCTTTTGTCACCTGCAGCATTAATTCTTTGGCACATTCACCTTCAGCAGCAGAAACACACGCTCTCTCTCAGACACACACACAGATGGAGTCCAGCAGCGGGCGCTTCTCTCTCTTCTCCCCGCACCCAGCGCTCTTCCTGCGGCCGGAGGACAGGAGTTTCCCGCGCAGCCCGAAGTGCGCGCGCTGCAGGAATCACGGCGTGGTTTCGGCTCTGAAGGGCCACAAACGCTTCTGCCGCTGGCGCGACTGCGCGTGCGTCAAGTGCGCGTTGATCGCGGAGAGGCAGCGCGTCATGGCGGCGCAGGTGGCGCTGCGGAGGCAGCAGGCGCAGGAGGAGCTGCAGATGATCTACCCCGCGGCAGGAGCGAGCGAGGCCGGCTTGGGCGTCTCCAGAGCGCCGCTGAGCTCAGCCGCGTTTGACGCCTTCAGTCCGGACGCGTTCAGAGACGGTAGGAGCTGTTTCTGTGTGCTATTTGAAAAAAGTGTGCTGTTTTTGTTTAAAGGGGTCATATGATGCTGCTAAAAAGAACATCATTTTGTGTATTTGGTGTGATGAAATGTGTTTATGCGGTTTAAGGTTAAAAAAACACATTATTTTCCACATACTGTACATTATTGTTTCTCCTCTATGCCCCGCCTTTCTGAAACACGTCGATTTTTACAAAGCTCATCGGTCTGAAAAAGCGAGGTGTGCTGTGATTGGCCAGCTATCCAGTGCGTTGTGATTGGCCGAATTCCTCGAGCGCGTGACGGAAATGTTACGCCCCTCACATACTGTGATGCTTGCGGCAACCACATGTGACGACCCCGGGCTGGACTCCGCTTCGTCCACGGTGAAAGCCGATCCGACGATTGACAGCAGGAAGTTGAAAGGAACAATTGAAATCGCATCATATGACCCCTTTAAATGCAAACAGAATTAATCCTTCTCAGTAGATTCGCATTTAGTCCGTTTAACGTTTGATGTTGAATGTATTGTGAGTGTTTATAGAGAACAGTGCTGCTCGATATTTATACTCTGCATAATATTATTGAGAGAGATTCATAGATTTGTAGTAACGTTAGTGAGACAGAGAGGTTTAATGTATTCCAGATCAGAGAAACCAGTGACAGTGATCAGCTTCCGTTCTGTTGCCTGCTATGAACAAAACACTGACACTATTGATGTTTTATTTCTGCAGAGACAAACCTAAACAAGTGCAGTGTGTTGAGCGGACTGATGGATCAGGCTTTGTTCAGCCCGCACACACCTGCGCTGAACGACAGCGTGTCTCCCGGATCGGATCTGGAGTCCGGCAGCGAGTCGGAGAAACCCAAAGAAGAGCTTTCCAAAACGAGCGGGCGAAACCCCGCTGCTGTTCTGACGAAGATCTTCCCTTATGTCAAGCGAGACGCTCTTGAGTCGGCGCTGAAGGCCTGCTCGGGAGACGTGGTGAGGGCCATTGAACTGCTGCTGGGTTCTCAGGAGGGCCAGAACTCAAGCGGAGACGTTCCTCTGTCGGAGAACCTCCCCATCTCACGGTCGTCTGCCGTCTGCCTCACAGAAGCTCCTCTAAGACACTTCAGCTCCAGATCAGCGTTCTCTCCCCTCCACGCCTCCTCCGGTTTGCTGGGGTTAAACCCTCGCTTTGCCGTCGCTCCGCTGCGACTCGCCTACTCAACACCCAGCTTCATTCCTCCGTATCTGACGCCTGCGTTTGTCCCGGCGCTGTCCCTGCGGCCCCCAGCTGACTATCCGCTCCCCGGGGCCCTGCGGGACCTTCCTTACCCCAAAGACACTTTCAGCCCCGCAGTGTTTTACTCCAGCCTCAGCCACGACAAATAATCCAAGCCTCAGTCTCTTTCTTTATTAAACTACTGTACAGTGTACAAGCGTGTTGTGATTTGAGATCGAGTCACAAGCAGTTTAATGGAAGTAATTACAGTTTTATACACATATAGTTTTATACATTATTTTTTGTAAATGTTGTATATTTTTATGCATATTTGAAAAAGTCACAGTTTGTTAATAAAGCTTAGTATGGAAACTGGACTGATTGTAGACTGGTTAAATAAACCACTATAAATCAATACAGCTGTCTGATCTGTAAACACATTAAAATGATTATTACATTAGATTTTCCTGCTAATAATGAAACGGTATGAAACTGCTGCTTTACAAGAACATCTGCAGTGTTTGCAAATTAATAGATTTGGGATGCTAGAAGAATTAGCATTAACACAGCTATAACATTTGATGCTGTTGATGTAAATCGTTAATGTTTCATAGTGGTGATTCGGTAATAGTTGATCTGTAGTTATCTTCGATTACAGCTGTTAGTTTACAAAGTCCTTGTGTTAAATTCTGACAACATGATCTTACATTAACTCTGTTCTTCTGAAAAAATTAGTTAACGGTGACAATCAAAACCGGAATATTGGGTTTAATAGTATTGTAAAAAAAAGTAAAAAGTAAATAATAATTTAAAAAATGCAGCGCTTCAGTAATAATCAAACAGCTTTCTACTCAATTCAGCGTAAAAACAATGTTGTTGTCTAAAAGGAACATTTTCTCAAATCACGTAATATTGACAAAACAAAAAGGTTGCCAAAAAAGCAACATTGTACAAGTAAAAAAAAAATATATATATACTGTATAAATATATATATATATTTTTTCCAAACATAAAACAGTTTTAAAACACACAAGTGAGCATCATGATAAAATATTTTCTCAAGTTTACTTCCATCCACCCCAAAAACACAATTAATAAATCCTTAATTTGGCCACAAACATTTCAGACTAATAAAATAATGCAAATGCATCCAGGAAGGTACAGTTTTACATGAAACATACAAAGTGAATCTTGTATATTCACACATTATACAGAAACATACAAATTCATGTTTTAGAGAAAATATAATAAACTAAATAACACCAATATGCAGTCAACATTTTAACAAATTAGTTCAAACTGCAGTCAGTCATAAAAACAAAACAATGTTGATATTTCATGAGCATTTTGTGATAAGCACACATGCATACTGTACAATATTAATCCTCACCGATGGGGCTGAGAAACACTAACCACACAATTACAAGAAGAGAAATAAATGAAGGATGACAGAGTCTTCACACCAGTGTAGCTTATATACAATCAAAACGAGTCTAGACACGTTTGCTTTGCTTTGTCCTTACTTTATCTGAGCACCTGTAATCAATCAGGCAAAAGACATCGGACCAGTTATCATATTACACTAACTATGCATCGATTTGAAAACGTGAACAGTTCTAGTTTAGGCTCATCATTGAAACCTTTATTGTTTTATTTATTCAGCTTTAGTGCCGTTTCCACCTCACTTCTGAGAACTGACATTAAACTAACCGCTTCACTAGCAATGCTCCTGATCAACACTAGCACTGATTGAAATCATGCTTAATTACTGAAGGCCAAGCCTCAAATCCATCTGCGCTTTTAGAAACAGAGAAAGACATTATGAACGTCATCATGCGTCCTTTTGAGAAGCAGCTGAGCTCAGACACAAACCACCACAAGAGTCCTGTTTCACACAGAAATGTGCTTCGTGTCAGTCTCTACTTCTGAAAATATTGACAGAGCGCCACCTAGTGATTGAGACACAACATCTCTGGTTCTGATGTGTGAAGCTTGTCATGTCTGAGCTCCTGAAGATGACAAAACCTTTATATCATTAATATAAATTCATTTAATTTAGTTTACTCGAGCAAAATAAAATGAGAATGTGCTGTAAAATTGGGCTGTTAGTGATGTTGTGAGCGCCGTCCATATGATGCTGTGCCTCTGAAGATCTGCTGAAGGCCAGAGATGGACATACAGTGTGAGGAACATGAAGAAAACCCAGACGACAGAGCCTGTAAACAGCATATTACACAGTGTCTGATAGATGTGTGTCATGTACTGCAGTGCTCTTGTAATGATCTGGTAATGCTGCCAGTGTTTAGTGGTTTTAAGGTCGCTGTGTTTCTGATGTGTGTAAATATTTGCTATGTGGTGGGTTGGTTTTGAGACATGAATGTTAAAGGGGTCATATGATGCTGCTAAAAAGAACATTATTTGGTGTATTTGGTGTAATGAATACACATGGAAAAATCCTGTATTCACTGTAATAATATGCTGCTCAGTGGAGATAATTTCACAGATATGTACAGTTAAATACATCAGCCGTGTGTCTGAACAAACACTGATGTTTCAGAAACAGACGGCGTTAGACTGCTCTTCATAAAGCATGTGTGTTCGTTTTTTAAAATTATATAATAAACAGAAAACAGAATAGAAAAACAATAGAGCAAGCTAGTCTTAGAGGCCTTTTTTGCTTTTGTTAATTGTATAATAAATACAAATAAAACAAATAGATAGAATGCAAAAAGATTAGAGAAGCTAGTGTTTTTTTAAGAAAAAAAAAACAGTAAATGAATAGAATGCAAGTCTAAAAGGGGCAAGGTTTTTTTTTTTTAAAGAATAGAATTAGAATAGAGAGTGCTAGAGTTAGAGGGTCAAATAAAGATGGAAGAGATGTGTTTTTAGCCGATTCCTGAAGATGGTTAAGGACTCAGCTGCTCGGATTGAGTTGGGCAGGTCATTCCA